CCCTCCTCTTCGTCCCCCCCCCCCCCCCCCCCGGTGTCTCCCTCTTCTTACTCCTTCGCTTCCTCAGGGTTTGGGATCTTCGTAACTTTCAGAATGGACAACCTGTCGCGAACTTCGACTGGCACGCCGAGGCGATCACATCGATCGAATGGTGAACGTCTAACACCTGCTCCCTGCTCCCTCTCTCCTGCCCCCTCCTTCATCCCTCCTCCCTCCTGCTTTCTCCCTCCTGCCTTCTCTCTCCTCCCGCCTCGCTCCATTCTCTTCTACCTTCTCCGTTCTCCTCCCTCCTTACTCCTCCCTCCTCCCTCCCACCACCACACACTCCTCTCCATCCTCCCTCCCACCACCACACACTCCTCTCCCTCCTCCCTCTGCTCCCTCCTCCTCGTTGACGCTTCCCTCCCACTACCACACACTCCTCTCCCTCCTCCTTCTGCTCTCTCCCCCATCTTTCCCCTCCTCCTCGTTGACGCTTCTCCAGGTGCCCTGACCAGCCGTCTGTCATCGCTGCCTCTGCTGCAGACAATCAGCTCACCTTGTGGGACATGTCGCTAGAGAGAGACGCCGAAGCAGAGGCCCAGATGATCGCCGAGGTCTCCTGCTTCTCCTGCTCCTGCTCCGCTCCTCCTGCTCCTGCTCCTGCTCCTGCTCCTGCTCCTGCTCCTGCTCCTGCTCCTGCTCCTGCTCCTGCTCCTGCTCCTGCTCCTCTCCTCTTCTCCCCGCCCTCTTCTCGCTTCCTGCTCCATTTCCCCTCGTTTTCCTCTTCATCTGACATGGCGGCAGGGCATGGCGGTCCCGGAGGTACCTCCCCAGCTCATCTTCATCCACCAGGGGCAGAAAGACATCAAGGAGATTCACTGGCACCCCCAGTGCCCTGGCGTGTTGGGCTCGACGGCAGCCGACGGGTTCAACATCTTCAAGACCATCAACTCGTAGACTTGTGGACGATGACCAGACAGTGACGAGGAGGAGGAGGAGGAGGAGGAGGAGGAGGAGGTGGTGGTGGTGGTGGTGGTGGAGGAGGAGGAGGAAAGATCTCCCTCCTGCTTTCCTCTCACCCACACAGTGCAAAAGTCTCAGCCGCTTGCTCCTCCCAGTCCCTCTCCTCGGAGTATTCTTTTCGTGAGACGAGAGGAAAGAAATGAGTCGAAACTTGATCATGTTGCCTCACAACTTCATCATGTTGCCATGTCGTTCACCAACTCCTTGCCTTGCCGTCTCTCTTCCAGCTTCACCCCACCCTTGTGTATCACAGAGATGTCACAAGTATAATAGCCTCATGTCATGTCATGTCATTTTATCTGATTCTCATTTTATCTGATCTCATTTTATCTGATCTCATTTTATCTCATCTCATCTCATCTCATCTCATCTCATCTCATCTCATCTCATCTCATCTTATCTCATCTCATCTCATCTCATCTCATCTCATCTCATCTCATCTCATATTACGTAATTTCATCCCTCTCTCCTGAAACTCATCTCTCTCCTCTCTCCTGCCTGCCGCTCTTCCTCTTCTCTTCCCCTCAAAGCTCCGCCTTCTTCTCCCGTCGCTCGCTAGGGCGTGAGACTGCTGGCGTTGTACGCGTTGCGCTGGTTGTTCGTGACGGAGCGAATGAGCGAAAGCTGAGGAAATCTCAGAGGACAAGGCACGACCAGAGGTACAAGGAGGAGGACAGAATGATGCGAGGAGGATAGAATGATGGTGGAGCAGGGAGGTAGAGTGGTGGAAACGAAACTAGTTGAAGGGACAAGGCCCAGATCATGGAAGGGAGAGGAGAATGACAGGGGGGAAGGAGGCGGCAGGGAGGAGGAGGATGAGACGTAGTCTTCAGTCCGCACCTGCAGCAGCCCAACACCTGGTCGCAGGACGCCAAGTTGCACAGGCGAACCGACGGGTCCGAGCAGATTCTTGGCGAGCTCTTCTGCGAGAGGAGAGGCTTACGAGTTGATAAGTCGAGAGAGCGATGGCTGTGAGGGAGCGAAGGAGGAGCAGGGAGGAGAGAGGGGGAGGAGAAGGAAGAGAAAGAGATGACGGGAACGAGGAGGAGGAGGAGGAGGAGGAGGAGGAGGAGGAGGAGGTTGAGGAAAATGGGATGATCTTACGATCTGTCATGCCATCGATCGGTATGCTGTTGACAGTGATGAGAATATCGCCGATCATCACCTTCCATATCAATTAGAGCTGAGGAGGTGGAGGACGAGGAGGACGAGGACCAGGAGGAGGAGGAGGAGGAGGACGAGGACGAGGACGAGGACGAGGAGATAGACAGGAGGAAATCCAACCTTGTTCTCGGCAGGGCCACCAAACGAGACTGAGCTCACTCTCAACCCTCCGTCATCAGTTCCCTGCGAGCAGCATCATGAGCAAGAAAGACAGAAGGCAAGGAAGGCAAGGGGAAGAGCAGCGGGAAGTAGGGAGGGAGAGGGAGAAGGTCCACGGGAAGCAAGAGGCTGAGCATTGAGTTGGTGGGGGCAAGGCACCTGGAAGACGATGCCAACCCCACCAAGCTGAGGTTTCTCTAATCTCTGAATGCCTTGTCTGACGAGCACGTTTGTCATGGAGGCGAGTGAGGCGTTTGCAGTAATTCTTCTCACCTCTCGGGATCTCGTGGAGGAAATTTCTCCCCCTCTGCCAAATCGTCAGGGGAGGAGAGCATCAGGGCTCCGGTTACCTTCTTCCTTCCTACTGTCGGCAAGAGCAGTCGTGGGTTGCAAGGAGGTTCAAAGTGAGCTGTCGGGAGGGAGCAGAGCAAGCGGAAGAATTGAATTACCTGCAGCTGGAACCAACAGTCAGTCAGCACATCTTGACATCAGGGGGATATTGCTCCCATCTCACCTACAGCATGCTGTCAAGTTGCCGAGGTTGAACAAGTCCATGGCTGTCTGCGGTTTTATCGCAAAATGTCATCGGGATGTTGGAGGGGAAAGCGGGGCGATGTACCAAGGTAAATGCAGTTCCGGCAATCAATGTTTCCTGCAGCACAGGACGATCGCCGTGGAGGGAGAGGACACTAGAGGAGAGGAAGGAGGGGAGGACGGGAGTAGGACTGGATGAAGAGGACTGGCGGAGGGACGAAGCTAGACGGCAGTGACTCAAGAAGGTTTGGAGGGGACAGGGAGGGAAGTCAGAGGGGTGTAGATTCCGTTCTTGAGTACAAGCACGGGTATATTTCACTATATTTTGTACCGGTATTTAAAGTACCCTACCCCCAGGTAGTGGGAAGTCACAAATCAAACTCCGGGGCTTCAGCAAAAAATAAAACATTTTAAAAGATGTTGAGTAAACTATTCAGTATTGACACAATATTACCTCCGTACATTTTTACAATAGTTTTAGAGAGGGGATCTTCGGAACGACTTAAAAGTCCGACCATGCCCGACTCTGCCGCCAGACGCGTGAATGGCGACGGCGAGGAGGCTCCTTCCGGGCGACGATAGAAAGAGAGGAGAACCAGAACATGGACAGAGAAGTTACAACTTGGATGACAAACAGAGCGATAAAGTCATCTGAACCGGTAGAGAGAGAGGGTTCATGCAGAGACACCTGTTGTGATTTATTCAGAAATTCAGGCACCTAGAGTGATCGCACGACAAAGCAGATCTTCCTGCAAGCCCCTTCGATCTTCTTTCGTTGAAGATGTCACGACGTCATGCATGGCTTGCATACATCCATGCTGGATGAGCGAATATGAGCGAATAAGCATGATGGCCGGACACGAAAAGCAAACTTTTCACTCTCCATAAGATACTATGGGTCGTCACATACTCACAACTCACCGTCTAACAATGCCTTCACAGCTTGCAATCAGACAAGCAATCAGCATGTGACCGAGTCTTATGCTCGCGTCTTTGCATTCACATTTCATTGCCAAGACACACTCTACATCATCCTAGCTAGAGTACATTCTACAGTCAAGGTCGATGTTTTTCATCCTGTCCTGCCCCTGCCTCCGGCCCTTGCCCCTCTTTGTCCCTCCCAATCCTCCTGTACCACTGCCACCACCTCCTCCCTCTCCTCTGACTAGGTCTGTATCATCTGCCTCTACCGAGTCATCTTCAAGTTCCATGTTCCCCTAGGTAGTTTCCGAATGAAGTTCTAGGCAGTGTTGTAATACAACTTGACAGGCATTTTCTGATTCCTTATCCATGACTCCTTCCAATAAAACTTCTCCATCAGCATCTGCAGCACCCGATGATAGCGGACTACTTCATTCTGATAATGTTCCGATCATTCAAGCGGCTGAACTGGACTGGAACGCGAGCCTGAGTGTCACAGTGGAGGGACAAACTCAAGAGATTCCGATGGGATATCATTCAACAGCTTGCATGCCAGTTGCCACAGATTGTAGATTTGGTCCACTGTGACCTGGGATGGATAAAAGAGACTCTTGTTGCAGTGCTCTTGTTGGCCCGGACGGCTCATACGCGCAGAAGACAGCATCTGGTGCTGGAAGTCTGAAAATGCTGTCTCAATAAATTCACCTGAGGCAGACTTGATCGGCCTTATGTGTTGGGATTCAGCGGGTAGGGGTAGTGATTTGGTCCAACCACCGGGGGTATATACAGGGTAGGGTACAAGGGTATAGGTTGGTGGGGTATTCATCAATATGAGGACGAGGGGGTAGGGGTAGTTGTTACACGAAGACGGTTTCGGGGGACAAGCAGGAAGAGGAGGACGAGGAAGAGGAGAGAAGAAGAGGAGTGGAGGGAGGAGATAGGAGATAGAGCATAAGGTGAAGAGCAGGAGAGGAGAGCAAGAGGGCAGGAGGGAAGGAGGAATTGAGGGGAGAAACAAGTCAAGGGAAGAGAAGCTGTGGGAAACGACTACGTTTGTTTTACAAGTTCGTGCAGACACTTGTTTGCAACAAAACCCGGTTCACAAAGGTGCTCTACTCAGAGAGGAGAGAATTTGGCAGAAGACACGATTGTTAAGGAACAGGAAGTGTGGTAGGCAAGAAGCTGGACTGAGGAGACGAGGGAAGCTGCATATTGCG